AAGGAAGGAAGGAAGGAAGGAAGGAAGGAAGGAAGGAAGGAAGGAAGGAAGGAAGAAAGGAAGAAGGGAAGAAGAGAAGGGAAGAAATCAAGGGACTAGGGAATCTTACATACTCTAAGATGCACGAAGCCATCACATCCAGCTCTTAGTAGGGCTATGATCTCCTTCCTGTCCAGACTCTTCCCTCCAGCAGCTTACAGAAGTTTACTGCGGCTCAGGTGGGGCATCCCCAGGCATAGAGACTTCCTGCTCCTAGTACAGGCAGGGAGGCTAAGCCGAGCATAGCCCTTACTGCAGACCAGGCAGGGCAAGACTCCAGCTGGAAGGGCGGGGCTCTGCCAAGCAGAACCTGGGGTCCTGGGAGAAGTCGAGGGTGTGGGCTGGACACTCAAGCAGTTTGGTCCACTGGCCATGTTCTCTTCTCTCTCCGACCAACTGCAGAAGTTGCTGCAACATTCCCAGGACCGCAGAGGGAGAAGGCCCTCACGCTTCGGATGCATACCTGCTACTTATTCTTACTTACACCCTGCCAAATCACCCACACTCAGCCAGATCCTAGCTATTAATCATTACCCATTCATCTTGATTCTCTACCATTCTTGGCATTACTGATGCTTCCTCCAGGTAAAGTTCAAAGGAAAGCCGAAACTTCCTAGAAAACTACTGAAATAGAAAAGCTCGAGAGCAGATCTCAATGGCCCTTTCCCATGTGTCAGAGGCCTTCTAGGTTCCAAGAGGGTCACTGCCCATAGATAGACATCAAAAGGGGCCACTAAGGGACCAAACCAATCAGCAGAGCCAGGTCAGCATGTACACACCCAAGCTCCCCTCATGTAGGCACCACAGTCTCACAAACAGGGTAACGCTGCCTACTACATTGACGCCCAACCGATGGCGAATGGCAGGTGAACAGGACCACTCCCTCAGCCCTGACTGGCCCTGGCTCAATGACCTGTTTCCAACTTGTCAAACCAGAAGCTGGAAGAGAAGAGGAGGCTCCCCAGGTGTGACAGGTACTGTGCAGAAGGGTTTAATCTCCACCCAGGAGAAAGGTATTTAGGTCATCAAAAAAGGGCTCTCCCCTCAACTCCATTGGGCCACAGATACCAACTCTGCAATGCCTCTCTCTCTCTCTCTCTCTTTATCTGAAGAAGCTTGGCACACAGTATGACCCTGAAGAGAAGGTACATTTAGTGATGGGAGGGCTAGGGGTGTGGCTAAGTGGTACAGTACTTGCCTAGCATGAGTAAGACTTTGGGTTCCATCTCCAGCACCTCAAAAAGGTGGCATGCAACACAATCCCTAAATACATTCCAAATATTTGTCCTTATCCCACAGGTAAGTGGAGTACTCAGCCACATCAAGGAAACTTCTCCTTCTTACAGACGGAGACCATTACAGAAAACCAAAACCCATCAAAAGGCAGAGTTGTAGAGCCCAGTCCCAGCTGATACCTCTACAACTCATCTCCAGCACCTACGAGTTCAGGGGTCATTGCAGGAAAGGGGACAGAGAGACTGTAAGAGCCAGGGGACAGGGATTTTGCTGCAGAATTATGCCTGCTAGAAATGTCAGCAACTACACCCTTCAAGGCTCATAACATGGATGCCTACAGGTGACCTGAACAAGGACAACACCGAAAGACACGTTAATGTGGAAAGGGAAAACTTAACAGGCATCAACCCTAGACAAACCTCAGGCACCTATGGGAGGCTGGAAACAGGAGAAACACCTTTCCCAGGGAGCACACCAACTGGTTATCTAATACCACATTATCAGCCCTGGAAACATACATAGACAAGTAACATTACACAGGCTAAGCATGTAGTATTTAAGTAACACACACACAACATTAACAACAACAAAAGAAGCCATGATTTTGAAAGACAGCAAGGGGGTGGGGATTATATGAGAGGGTTTTGAGGGAGGAAGGGGAAGGGGGAGTGATGTAATTATGTGTGTGTATGTATGTATACATATATAATTCCATATACTTAATTTACATAACCCATATATTTAATGAAAAGAGGAGGAGGGCGTGCACCACAATGTTAGGACCTGACAGCTGAGCCCTGGGTTTCCAAGCAGAGGCTACTTGTCCACTGTGGAGAATCTGTTTCTTCAACTCCCCCGTGACTCTAAAGCTGCTACCAGGCTTTACTGGGTCCTAGACAATCAAGTTAGACCTCTTCTCACTAACCCATGTAATTTCCCACCAAGAGCAGAAGAAAATGAACAGCGCCCATGCTTCCCAGTCATGCATGGACCTCGCCTAGGTGCCAACAACCAAGCCATGTAAAGGAAGAGAATAGCACAGCAGTGAGTGAACCGCCTGAGCGTCACCAGCAGCAACAGCCACACTTCGAAAGGTTCAACTTTCTTCCGTTTAGGAGAATAAGCTGTAAAGTATCGGAGCTGAAGCAGCCTTGCCATTCAGAACATTCCAGAGCCTGAGCATAACAATGAGATTCACGCCTTTGCAGACGTTAAAATCAGTGGCAAGAGAGAGAGAGTCACCTTTGTTAGTACAGTGATGAGGATTCCCACTTGTCACGCAGGAGACCAGGGTTCAATTCCTCACCTGGGAGACTAGCAGTGGCTCTTTAGGCAAGGGGTGGTGGTGGCAGCTGCGAAAAATCCCAGCAGAGGCAGGTAGATTTCTGAGTTCGAGACCAGCCCGGTGGAAAGAGCGAGTTCCAGAACAGCCAGAGCTACACAGAGAAAATAAAATCACTGGCAAGAGAAAGCATTTCTGCAAAAAAAAAAAAAGTATGGTTCTACTTTCTACCTCTACTTTCTACCTTCAGACAAGAGTATCACTTAGGTGCAACCAATGCCTCAAGAGGAACCATCTAAATGCTAGCGGGGAGGAGGACATAGGGTAGGGACACGGTAATTCACCACCATGCTGTCCACCATATATGCTTCTTCTGTCACTTAGGGAAAGAGGAGAAAGCTTTTGTTCCACTTCTTCTAAGCGGCCTCCATGAGAGGAAAGCACTTTTGTCAGTTTATGAAAGCGAATTCCATTGATGGAAAATCTCTAAGATGTGGTTTCTGGAAACTCCACAGGAAAAAAAAAAGTTGTGTGTGTTTTTTTTTTTTTTTTCCAAATATCCAAACAGTTAAAAAAAAAAAGTACCTGGATAGAATTTGCAGCAAATGTACCCACAAGCTGTCTGACTGGCTGCCACACACAAAGGCCCCTTTGATTCCAGGATGGAGAAGGGAGAGAGACTACTGCCGAGAGCTGTAGCTAAGGACTGTCCAGGGAGGTAGGACTGGCAACCAGTTGAAATGGAGGGCTGTCTCACTCCCGCACGCTACGGTAAGACACCTTCAACCTTCAACCGTCCTTGTCCCCAGAACCCTTTCCAGAAAACAAAAGCCTCTTCTTCAAGACAGGACTCCCTTGAAACCAGGACTCAAGTGCGTTTATGACACCCGGGTGTCAACAGGAGACTCATTATCATAAGGCTGTTTGTGATTGAGAGTCCTGCTTCCTAGGAAGGTCAGATGGCAGACAAGAGCACTCACATTTTTATGGTTGGCATTAAAATAAATTAGTAATTTTTTTTTTTTTACTTTTCTGGTAACCTCTCACGGGTTATATAACTGAAAAGACTTTTGAAGGCGACCTCATACAGCCAACCCCACCAACAGGAATTTCACCACAGAACCCTTCACTTTTTCCAGGCTCAGAACCATGGAAAGTGTGAGCACATTAGTTGGTACTTAAAAAGAGGTGGGACCTAGTAAGTGATTACCAAGCCAAAACATCCCTCAAGGGGAACCCTATTGGCTGCAGAATTATTTCCTGGAGTTCAAGACCTGGAAATACCACACAGTGACTCACTCCAGCCGGAATCGTACTAGGAAAGAGGAAACTGGGAATGTTTTCAAACAAGAGTGAAGCCCACAATCTTTTAAAAATAGATGTAATGTACGCCTACCTTTAGGAAGAGATTAAAGCCCTACACTGTATCCAACTCGGCATTCACCATTTGCGGAGGGAGCACTGTGAATTTGTTTTCAAGTGGTGCCATACTACCACTGCTCCGGAAGGCCCTGCCACCGCTCCCTACCTCACTGTCAACTTTGTTACAGCAGCTTGTTACTTCTACGGAACTTACCTTTACACGACAGTGAGGGTTGACTCAGTGTGGGGGATTTCTTAGGCTTCCTCTCAAGAGGCCAAAAATGGAAAAACAGGAAAATGTTACTGACTGCAGAGATTGGGAAGTGGCAGGTCCACAGCCTAACCGCAACTAGCCTTGGGCTATTTTTAGCCCCCACGAAGCAGTCATTTCTTGCCCACCTGTGCCTGATAGAACAGTGACTAACCTACCTGCAACTAACAGGTGAAAACATCTTGGGATCTATTAAGTTAACAAAACCCTAGCTTCCACAAACCAAAGGTTTTAGAGTGCTGGTCAGATAGCGTCTCCGACCTACACTGGAGATTCCCACACGCTGCTGTAACCGCCTACTTACTGCTTCCACTGATACACCTGAAAGTACCTTGATTTATTACTTTTTTCTGTTACTATTAAAAAAAAAAAAAAAACAACTTGTCAAACTGTTAATCATTTTGGAACACTGAATTTAAAGTAACCGCAATCTGTTTCCAGGCCACGGTCACTCGTATTTGGCTTCAGAATACATTCTTTATTCCCTTTGAGGTGCAGTTGTGCGTTTGCAAAGACAAAACTCTGAACAAAAAATAACCAAAAAAAAAGTGAAAGCAGAATGTTGGGAAAACCAAGAGAAACACAGTATTAAAGAGGAACTCCAGTTTCCGAGGGGAAAGGGACATATTTTGTTCACAGAAGGGGAAACCGGGACTAGGGATACATCACGTAAAACGTCGTTCTGTCTTCGAGAAAGAAAATTGTAAACAAATTCTCAAGACACCAAAAAATATGATATTCTCAGTGGCCCTGGAGCACAGGGCCTTAGCAGACAAGTTTCGGCTCCATCCAAGCCCTACAAAGTCGCTGGCAGTCTCCGGGGACGCTGAGACTCTACAGTCTAGGAAGGAACCTTGGAGTCTCAGAGCCCCGGCAGGTCCCCGTTCCCAGGCATGCACGGAGTTTTACAACTACAAAGCAGTACGCGTAAGGTCGAGTCTGGACTTCACACCCCACAACTTTAACCCGCCCGCGACCCGGCGGGGGGCCCCGGCACCCACACCCCGACAGGCACAGATCTCTGGGGTCCCGCTCCCGAGCCCCGAGTCCTCGGGAGGGGACGTGGGGGAGGGCTCGGAGGCCACGCCTTCCGCCCCGTGCCGGCGCTGCCACCTGTGGCGACGTCCCGGCGGAGCGCGGCGGCGCGGGCGAGGTCCCGGCTTCTCCGGCCGCGCTCACCCACCTCGGACAGACCGCTGCGGTCCTCCGCGTCCTGGCCGCTCAGCACCTTCTTCAGCTTGTCCATGTCGGGTCCCCGGGCGCCGCCTGTCCCCTTCGCCCCGCCGACGGCTCTACCCCACGGTGCCCGGCCGCCTCCGACTACGGCGCGCCCCGCCCAGGCACCTGCCCACCTGCGCGCCCGGCATGCCCCGCGCCAGCCACGCCCCTGCGCAGACTCCTAGGGGTCACCTGGGGCGGGGCCGGGAAAGTTGTAGGGGAAGTCTGCGGGTGGTGCCTAACGCCAAGCTGGCTTTGCCCCCGGGCTTCACCGGTTCGGCCCAGCGCCCGGCACTACCGTGTGCCAGGGCCTGGAAGATCGCGGGGGACGCCTCGTGCAGACTTACCCACGGATGCTGAAGTTAATCCGCTGGTGCTCGTGTGTGCACCGTAGATGTTAAAAAAAAAAAAAAAAATACAATCCATGCTAAGTGGAACAAATCAGTGGGCAGCAGGCTGAGGCCGTGCAAAAGAGCGTATCGGCAAAAGCAGCAATTCCTGCGTCATTCCCGGGGGAGAGGGCTCGGGAGGTGTCTGACTTGGACAACGCCTGACAACAGGTGGTAGATGGCTGAGGAGAGTCGGATAGGTTTGTGTTTGGTGAGCGCTTTCCTTCTAAATAGCCTGTGGCACGCTGAGGCTCTGTAGCAGAATCTACATGAAGCCACGGACAGAAATGTGCTCACCTGGCACCCTGGGGAAGTCTGGGGAAACCTACAGTAAGATTAAGTTGGCTCAGAAAAAAACCGAGGTGTAGCGCAGTGAAAGAACGCTTGCCTGGCGTGTGCAAGGCTTTGGGTTCAGTTCCCAGCACTGTCCCTGATTCCCAAAAAAGGGAAAGGAGGCCACAGAGGGAACTTCAGGCGCACGCACCTGAGGATCGCTCGTACCTACCTCTCTCCACCCCCACCCCCACCCCCGCCGTACTTCCTCCAGCAAGAACGCTGAGGGGAAGAGTTGTCTACAAAACCCCGTGCACACCAGCCAGGGCCCTCCTGCTTCACCTCTGTGACCTTGTGAGTTTCCAGCATACTTCTTTACTTGTGCAAATACATCAAGCAGACCTTTGAGATCCAGGGCATCTTTTGCCTGGATGCCCCTTTCCTCCTAGCGAAGTTCTTACACAGCTCTGGAAACGGCAAACATCAGAATACATGCGAAGTCCACCCAGTGGAGGCAGGAGGATCTGAGCGTTGCAACTCTAGCTCTGTCACTTGCCACCTACGTGGCCTTGAGCAAGGAGCAGCTGTTTTCCTCCGTAAAGTGAGCAAGGTGAGTTCGCAAAGTGACCGTGGAAAGTAAACATGGCTAGGTAGACAGGTCTGGAGTGTAGGGGCCATTCGGTTAGCATCTAGTAGAAGCCGTCCTTACTCTAGCACCTTTGAAGACTTTCCCTAAAACCTGTGGTCGTTTCATAAGTAAGTACCCCACAAACTCCTATATGAAGCCAGAAAATGGCACTATTAGGAGGCGTGGCCTTGCTGCGGTGGGTGTGGCCTTGTTGGGGGAAGTGCGTCGCTGTGGGGGCGGGCTTTGAGACGCCTATGCTCAAGCTCCTCCCAGTGTGGTCCACAGTCCCCTGCTGCCTTCTAATCCAGAGGTAGAACTTCCAGCTTCAGCTGCCATGTTTCTTGCCATGATGACAATGGACTAAACCTCTGAAACTTTAAGCCGGGCCCAAGTAAATGTTTTCATGTATAAGATTTGCCATGGTGTCTCTTCACAGCAATAAAACCACCGAACCTTAGCATGGCAACTTTTTTTTCCGCTGTGCTTCAGTAGCGCTTGTAAGCGCATCTACATACTGGGCTCAATATTATCATATGTGTTCAAGTTTGTTTTCCTGTTGTAAGGTCTTCACAAATGACATCAGGAAAACAAGATGCTTAACCACTACTCATTGAGTAAATGGATGAAAAACCTCACTGTTATCTTCTGCAGCCCTAAAAGTTACCAGCCAGCAGGTAGAACAGCACTTGGGATGACCACGACAAGGCAGCAGGCAGGACTTGTTTTTGTTAGCTGCGTGAAAAGCATCCCATCCCATCTGTGCTGTGAAATAAGAGTTTGGTTAGAAAAGCCATCTCCTTAATCTCACTCCATGGCCTGACAGCAGGACAGGACAGGGCTCTGTTCTTGGGTAATGCTTTAGGAGACCTGCAAACACACACACACACGATTTAACGGACCCATGAACAAGTCTCTTACTGGAGATCTTGCATTCAATACCTGGGCAGTACAGCCCCTAACAGGATACATCCTCCTGTGAGTAACTGGCCTCAACAAGTGATTCTGTCTTAGATCCTTGTGACAAAAGGCAACTCCATCCAGCGCTCTGAAGATTGAGGCCTGTGCCACGAGGAGTGCAGGATACCAGCATATCCATACCCTACGACATGGGCATTACCTAGGCAGTCAGGCTGCGCCTCCATCCCTTTGTCTTCTTGTCACACTGACATTTAAAGTTCCAGAAGTACTCTGAGCTTGCACCCTTCACAACAGCTCGCACAAAGGTTAAGGAATAATTGAGTGTGCGACATTGTATACACAGAGGTTTAGGTGTAACTCAGAGGACTTGTGCCACTGATTCTAAAGCACAGAACACTAGATGGGGTTACAAAGCACCTGTGTCAAAGTAGCTAACAAGATTGCAGTTTTAAACAGTCAAAAGGCTTTCAGCTCTATTCTATTAGCATGTGTTCAATAAATGGGTCACATTCCTTACCGTTGTTATCTTCCACAGAGGGTTTGGAATACGTGAGGAAATTTTCTTAAGATATAAAAAAAAATATTTTATTTTGAAATGGAATTCATCATTACGGTAATATATTCTAAATTTGTACTGATCGGATTCATCCATCTCTGATAGTTTTCCAATTTTCTGATCGTATAAAAGCCATAACTTTATGAGTGTTCATTGTTGTTGGAGGGTGAAACATAATTTAATGATTATATGGCTAGCTACCTTTTTAATTTTTAAATACTTAAAGATGATATATGGGCTTCCAGGCCCTGAAAAACCTTAGGGCTATGACTCACTTTAAATGACCCAGGCAAAGGATGCCTAGTTATCCCAGAGGAAATAACAAATCATTAAAAATACGGGAGAATTTTCCATTTCAAAACAAGGTATAGGCGGTGGTGGCACACATATTTAATCCCAGCACTTGGAAGGGAGAGGAAGGAGGTGTATCTATGTGAGTTCAAGACCAGGCTGGTCTGCAGAGTGAGTTCTAGGACGGCCAGGGCTACACAGAGAAACCCTACCTCAAAAAAACAAAAATGACAAAATAACAATAAAAACGGAAAACAAGCTTCCTGCCAATGTATCTGTGCATGGTCTTTGTGTTCAAGCACTGAATTGTTTTGTTTGTTTGTTTGTTTGTTTGTTTTAAATTTACAGATTCCAGCACTGAGAAAAAGAAGAAACAAAGGCAGAGAAAGAATGCTTGTTATCTGTGAATTCATAAAAATGTAGTTCTCCAATGTTTTTATTTTATATGCATAGTTTTCCACTAGGACAACTGATATCTTGGCTTGAGTTCCTCACACACTGCTTGTAAAAATATCAAACGAGAAAGCCACTTGGGAAACCAAGTTGGCTGTTCTGCAAAAGTTTAAAAAATAGAAATAGACATGAGCTGACAATTCTATCTACCCAGATTTCTACCAAGAAAAACAAAACTATATAAATCTATTTTTCAAAGTGCATAAATGTTCATAGCAACTTCATTAATAATAGACAAAAAGTACAAAGATCCTATGGCTAGTAAGCGATGAGCAAATAAAATGTAATATATTCATGAGATAGAGTCTGATTCCACAATAGGAAGGGAATATGCAACCTTGAAAACATAGTAAGAGAAGGAAGCCAGTAAGCAAATGGGGGAGCTGTTTTTTTATTTCTTTGTTTGTTTGTTGAGAAATGGTTGTATTTTATAAACCAGACTTTGGCCCAGTCTGTGACCAAGTTAATAGTGTGATTTGAGATTATGTAGTGCCAAGTACTCGTTTTGGAATCAATCTTAGCACAGCTTATACCGCCAGCGTAACTAACTCTTGCAAGCTCAGCTGGTCCCATAGCTTTGCTCTTATACCATGTTCCCTATCTCTCCTTCACAGCCAATGCATGCCCCTGACTCAAAACAGTCTATGTGTGTATAAGGTGTGGTAATCTACACAGCAGAGTTGAAATCGACAGGCCTCCCTTTTAAAATGCTGATAGCACGTGAGCATGGGTTGAGAACACCTGTTTGTGGCTTTGTGTGCTGTTCTGAGCCAAAGGGAGGCAGAAAAACAATTTCTTCCATTGTGAGACTCCTATAGAAGTCTTCTAAGACAAGAGTTCCCCATCCATTGCCCATGTCATATTTGCTGTTCAACAAAGAGAGAGGCCTGGCCTCTGCAGAACTCTTCAGAACAGACATCAGGCTCACTCTTGGGCAAATGATACCAAGGCTTGGCTTCTTTGGCTTCAGATGGCACTACCTTAACAAAAGATTTCATGCTTATGTCCACTTATGTGAATGTCCAGATAGGCAAATCAGCAGGAAAAGAGAGTGGACCAGTGGCTGCCTACCAGAACTGAGGTAGAGGGTGTGGTCATGAGTGACTAATGGGATGATTACAATGCTAAATTAAGTGGTGGTAGTGGTCGTTTGCATAACTGCTAGGAATCGCTAAGTTGTAGACTAGTAAAAAAAAAAAAAGTCATTGCTTTTATAATAGAGCCATGTTTTTCTGGAGTTGTGTGTGAGCGTGCATGTTTTCATGTGTGTGCACAGGTTCAGGTGCATGTGTAGGCCGTATGGTTAGCAGTCTATTACTCTCTAGTGGTTGTTTGTTTGTTTGTTTGTTTAGACAGGCTCTCTACCTGGAGCTCACTGATTCAGCTACACTGATTCAGCTAGCACACAAGTCCTAGTGTACGCTGTTATGCAAACAACCATTACCTGTCTCTACCTCTGGGAATACAGATGTGCACCACTGTGCAGGGGATTTGTATGTAATTACTGGAGATTGAACTCAGGTCCTCATGCTT